CACACACACACACACACACACACACACACACACACACATGCACACCCCCCCCCACACACACCATAACTAACCTGTACAAGAAGTAGTTGAGGCTGACGTGGTAGGTCCCCTCAGAGTTGTACGGGTCATAGAGCAGGTAGAAGGACCTGGTGCCACACAGAAGCAGAACCAGGGAGTTGAGAGACAGAAAGTACGGTCTGGACAACAGGCGTTGTATCCGCCACAGTCGCACCACGCTCAGACACGTGTACAGTCCCAGCAGGCCGAACAAACCCCCGAAGGCGTAGATGTGAATCTCCCAAGCGAACTGCCACGCCTCTTTGGCCTCTTCCCACTCCGGACCCGGTTCTACGGCCGGTTCGTAAGTACCGCCGCCTCGCTTACGGTGCCGGTTCTCATACTCGCTGGTCGAGTTCCCCTCCGCTTCTGATTCGCCTTCTCCTTCCCCTTCGCCTTCTGGTTCTGATTTTCCCTCCCCTTCCGGTTCTGATTTGCCTTCTCCTTCCGGTTCTGGTTCTTTTTCTCCTTCCGGTTTTGGCTCGCCTGCCGATTCTGATTCGGGTTCTGTTTTTGGTGCCAGTCCCACTTCCGATTCCGGAGTCGGTTCGTTTTCTGGTTCTGGTTCCACTTCGGGTTCGGAACCGTTAGCACGTGGCAAAGGATGGGAATTCGTTGATGTGTCAAATCCTTCCGGGTTCGGATCAGTCCCACTGCTATTGGGATCAGCAATAACTTTGCCTGAGTCAGGGTCGAACGGCGGAACCTTGTCACCGCCGATTACAACCGGCGTATTCGGATTAGTTTCGGATCCATCATCGAGTTTGGTGTAAGGCGGAGTTTGAGCAGTGGTCAACAGTCTCAAATCAGGGTCACTCGGGTCATTAGGGGTGATCTTCTCCGACTTAATCGACCACAAATTTGAATTATCGTCATTCGGACCTGACTCAGATTCGGCACCAGTTTCTGGAGACGTTGACGTATCGGGGGGTTCAGTCTCTGGTGTCGGTTCCTCCGAAACCGGAGGCTCCGTTTCTGGAACCGGTTCTTTTGTAGCCGAAGACTCCGTTGTCTCCGGTTCCGGTTCCAACGGTTCTGCCGACGTCACTTGGGATAGATCAGGTATCCAGTGGACGCCGCCTACTTTAGCTGTGGTCAGCGGCGAACCTGTTGTGATGGTCCCAGTCAGTTGATCGTCGTTCATTCCATCTTTGAGGTTATCTGCAGAAGTAGTAGCATCCTTCTCTTTATTGGATGAGCCACCCGTGATCTGCGTCGTATTCGAATCTTTGACAACATCCTGGTTGAGGTTTGAGTACGGAATAGAGGGACTGGCTGTTGTTACAGGAGGAATGGTATTCGTTTCATTGGTCGAAATCTTTGGCTCACTTTCACCTTCACTTTCGGGAATGGTGATGTTGAAATCGTTGTTGTTGACGCCACTAGAAAGACTTTCATCATCTACAGTGCTTGTATTGGAATGAATCGAAGGGTTGTTCGGGTTCTCAATTTTCAAAGACGAGTTGTCGTCTGCGTTTGAATCGAAAATGCCTTCTGGGATTGCGTTGATCTCGGAAAAGACGGGCGTGTTTAAGTTCACAGCAGTCGAAGGCTCAGCCACGGGGATCTCATTATTGTCAGCCTCTGATGTGACGTTATCGCTGGACCAGGCAGTAGAAGTATCGTTATTATGATCAAAGCTATCGTTGAAGAAACCAAACCCGTCTCCCGCAGCGCTGCTACTATTGTCGCCGGCATTTCTTCTCCTCCTAATCAGCTTCCCGGAGGAGGATGAGATGATGATCTCTGTGTGGCGAGTAGCAGCAGCCCCGCCCCTTGACCTCTTGACCTCCCAGCTATTGATACCCTTGTGAGATGATGGTCCCCCACGTCCCGGGTACCGCCAGCGCCGTCCACCGCTGTACACAGTAGTAGTTGTCGTTGTAGCGCTGACTCGATGATTACCTCCCTTTGAAATCTCCGAATTAGAGAGCGGCGAAGGAGTTGTTCCCCTTTCCGCACGTCGGTTTGAAATAACTGACCCCGAGCTGATTCTTCTTCCTTGACCTCCGGGGGTCATTGAGTTCAGACTGACCACCCTCATGTCCTGGTCATTATTACTGCGGGATGCGTCAGATCTTGTCAGTTTATCGCGACTCGATTCATCAAGCAGATACCCAACGTCTCCTAGACTTAATTCTGTGAATGGTTTCGTGTTCCCGTAAAGCTTGTTTGAACCACTCAAGAGGGTTTTGTCGACATTTTTGCCTCGCCTATACTTAAAAACACTGGAAGGAAGAGACAATGATCTCAAATTATTTCCCGCCTGGTCGATTTCGGTACCAGCATAACTCGTCGCCGCAGCGAATGGTTGGGACTCGCGAGACACAAACAGTTTGCTCTTGTCACTTCTTCTAGGAGGGGGGTAATGGGCTGGCCTTTCATCCGACCCCCTAGGAGACAGAGATGAAAGGAGCCGAATTTGTCCAGCACTAATCGAATGAACAAGGGGCCGTGCCAGAATGTCTCCGGACCTGGAGGCTGTGAGGAGTTTGGCAGACGTCGTGTGGTGTCGTGATGGGATGGCGGGGGGCGGGTGGAGGGTGGACTGACCGGGATGTCGGTGATGCTTGAACCCTTGCTGTTGTGGAGTGAGGTGGAGGCCCCAACAAAGCCCTAGGGGACCCAGGAGACAGGCGAACGCAGCACACAGTAGCAGCACTCGAGGAGGGGAGGAGGAGGAGGAAGGGGAGGGAGAGAAGGGGAAGGGGGAGGGAGAGGAGGAGGAGCCCATAGTTTCTCTCCTTTTGTGAGGCACCGGAGCAAAAAGACGACGGTTGAAAAGAACGTTTTCTTGGGGTGTCCGCGGAGATTTGGGGAGCACGTGTCTTCAAACTGTACGCTTGCCCTGGCTGCTCTACGGGCGTCTGCCAGGCTCATAAATGTAGCGCTGGCCTGTCCGGCTGGGTGGACATGTAGCAGATAGAATCCGGCCACCTCGAGTGTCCGCTCTCTGTTCTTGTCTCCATCTTCTGAAGGACTCTACACTACATCAGGAATCTTTCATCTGAAATCGAATCGATTCTCTCTCAGTGTCATGAGCACTTTCTTTTCGTCTGTTTTACACACAAGATCCACATGAGGTGTATCCTCTTCCCGGTTTAAGAGCTTCTCAAATCGAATCGATTTTTGCTATCAGTTTGATGTGAACTTTTTTTTATGTCTTACACAGGAGATCCAAATGAGGTGGGGCTTTTTTGTACTGAGGTGAACTGATTCACAACTTGAAAAAATTTCCATTCACTTTCACGTTCACACGTTTTTAAGAACACTTGGAGTATACATTCGTCAGTTCAAATCCTTTTGAAATATCACCAGTGTTTATTCCATCGTATTACGCATACTTTCGTTTCAACAACAAACAAGGAAATACTCTTCGTCTTCAGTAATTAGATTCCATCTGAAATCACACTTATTATACTTCAATTTTCAATTTTCCACTTTCATTTTCCTTGAAAAAATTCTCTTCATGTAGTATCGAACTCCTTCCTTCCTGCGATATAATCGTCACGTGACTTTTTGGTCAATCACGACTCAAGCACCACCATCCCCCGCTCCTTCCTTCCTTCTGTCCATCTCTCCAACCCTCAGCAGTGGGGATTGATCGACTCGTCCACAGCTCAGTTCAGACGTATCTGTGGACCAGGAAAAAATACAAGACGGTCAGATAGAAGCCGTTCGTGGGACGCTTGGATGAATGCGAAAATTTCACGCCTATTAGGCTCACCGCCCATAACCCGGCCGCCTCCCACGTGATTTGAAGCGGGCCTAAGAGGGGCTGTTTTGTTCTACTTCAGTGATAACACAGTTACTTACATACAGCTGCCCGGGGAATAGGCCAAATGGAATTTTCCCCCTTGTTTTTTCCCCCGTAATCCTCCTTTCTCGTGGGTGGACATCATAACTTCACCTCCCCCCTCCTCAAGGCAACGACATAGTTAAATAACATGTGTGTTACATGTAATGTCTTTTCTTAGAATGTATTCAGGGTCTCAGAGAAGAGGGGAGAAAGGAAAGGGAGGGGGAGGGGGGGGACGCAGGAAATAAAAGAAAACAAAAAGACAGTGACACATGAACAAATTGGCAACATTTCAAGTGTCCGTAACATTGGCAGAGCTGTTTTGT